TAAGCAAGGTCAGGGGTTCGAATCCTGCCTTGTGTATGCAGCCGCGTTAAATCTTGGGGCTAGCTATACCACCCTTTGAGGTGCCTCCAACGTAGCGAGGAGATTAGTCACTGTTGTCGGCGGTGGATACTCCAGGAACGAACCTAAAAAAAACCTTTTCATAAAAAAATAAATTTTCTAAGCATCAATATTCAATAAAAAGGTTCACAATATATTCCAACAATGTAGTAAACAACATATAAAATTAAAATAAGGCACAAACTGCTTTTTTTAACAAAATCTCAACAATTAAATAAAAAAAGTTATAGTCCAAATGAAATCCATTAAAATACTAAAAATTAATTCATTGCCCCGATGTCACACTAATCAAAGCAAGACCCCTTTTATCTCTCTCCCTTATCAACCATCAAGCATATCCTCTAATACCTGTACTAGTCCTGTAAGTGGCATTCAACCTAAACCCAAACACACAAACATAGGGAGTGAGACTACATTTTATCCGCACATATCATATACAAGATACAAAGGTAGGCACACACACAACTATAAGATCAATCATGTCTCATACACACATAAGCATCATTTCATACATCTACTATATTCATCTCTAAGCATCCATTCATCATTTGAACCAAGCAAGTCATATAGTATATCTCAATCTTAATTAAGACTCGTGCAATGCATGCTCCTAACTTTATATGCATGTAGTACCAATCTCCTTATCAGCATTGAGAATATAGAATAGCCCAAGAGTAATGGAATGGAACCATCCCATCGAATAGTGTAGGGATCACCCATCAATATTGATCTCTATGAACCACCTCAATTAGGGATGTCTATCAGAGTGTTGTTAAAGTGTTATAGGTAGCCATGATAGCCTTCAATTCCCATTAGAGGTTTCCCTACCATAACACTCCCTAGGGCATTGGTAGATGACCTATGATATTCCACCTACAAAAACTCACTATCCCATGAAACAAAGTATGAATGCATGGACTCAATACACTCAATACAACAACACAATATGTATACTCAAATCCTCGAGTGCCAATCCACAACATTGGACTTATCCATCATATCTCATCACATTACTCATAGTAATTCAAGACATCATACATCTTGTTAGGTCAAAAGACAATCCTATATCCCCTTGGTCTAAAGTTTTATTGTTAACAAACATAAAAGCTTTTATCAATAGTATATAGTTTTCCAAATGACTATAAGACAAATTGTGACACCCTTTATGCCTCATGTTATAACATAAATAATATGAAACTGAATAACCTCGATATAATAATTGAACTTAAAATCCATACAAGTAAAAAGGATCACATTGTTAACATAGTTAGACTCAATAGCAATAACAAAATTACAAAGGAATTAAAATAAAATTTTCAAACCAAATAACATGAAACAAATCTTAACTAGTCCTAATTACGTTTCGATGTCACATGTCATATCAAAGCAAAACCGATCATTGAAAACCAGGTCTCACCACCAACATTCTCAACATCATATTGATGATCACTTGCAACAGCACAATAACAAAACAACAAAAACAAAAGGAGTGAGAAACATCTTACTATGGATCACAGTGCAGGAACACAAACAATGTCTTGAATATCATAGCTTGCCCTTTTGTTGTTGGTGATGTTGATGGGGTGAGGCTATATCCTATCAACAAAACCTAGTGTGAGCACAAGTGGTGATGGTTTGACAGAGAGATATAGTGGACGATGAGCCATTGGCTTTAGAACTTGAATGTAGGGATGCTCCCTAGATGAAAGTTTGAAGTCCCTATAAAAGTACTTTGGACCATATGTAGGACGGTTGTTTATCAATACATCATGCAATATGGACATTCCTTTTTCGTCCAAGAAGTGTTGCTCTTTCTGGTCCAACACTAACTCGCTTGTAGAATCCATGAGTAGACTAGCTTGTAATAATTCAAAGATGTTTGGGATTCTATAAGGTGTAGCGCCCACTAAAATGAGGGATAAAAGTTTTCCAATAAAGTGAAAGAAAAAATTCATGCATGTTTTAAAGAAAGATAAAGATTTGAAAAATAGGTCCTTTGATGAGACATTTCAGACTTAAAATTGTGAATCAAATGAATTCGTAATAGAAGCTACTCAAGAGAAGATGTCCACCTTTGGGCATAACAAACTTGAAGAGAAGAAAGAAAATAAGGTTTTAAAACTTTAAGATTCATGTTGAATCCTTTTTTATGGGTCATGGAAGCTGCAATAATCATGGTCATGGCTTTGGCCAAAGAAGGAGAAAAAAATTTTGATTAACAAAATTTAGTTGAGATCATTATACTTCTTCTTATCAATACAACAATGAGCTTTGTAAAAAATAAAAAAATAATGTTGGTAAAGTTGTTACAACTATTATAGAAAAATTCTTCCAAAAATGGATTGAGGCAATTGCAAGGATTCTTATTTCAAGTAATAAAATCAATGTTAAACTTGAAGATATTAAATTTGTTGATGTTCATCTACTTGAAAGTGATCCAACAAATAAGTATAAAGGATGATAGAGATTAAAGCTTGAAATGATGAAGAAAAATATCACAGAAGAATGTTAGTAGTTGAAATTTTTCAATATCATAATTAAATATATTAAAATTTCTACAATTTTTTGTTTTACTTGTAAGTTTGATTAAAATTTACTTATGTAGAAAAAGCTACAAGAAAATGATATTTGTTTATTAGTTTAGTTATAATTTATTATTTGCTATACCCAATCAGGAGTTAATTAGTTTTAATATTTAAGCACTTTCAATATAATTATATTAAGTGAGTTTTTGCTCCATTTTGTGTGTGAAGTTACAAATTTTATAATCTCAACCTCTTATATTTTGCTTAGTTATACACCTAAGTTATTCTTGTTTGTTTTCAAGACATATAACTGAGTTTGTATATTTTTAAAGCATGGCAAGAAATAAAAATAGTAAAGGACAATGTAACCCAAGCACTCGGGCTATAGCATAGCAAAGTTTGATTAAAATTTACTTGTAAGTTTGATTAAAATTTACTTATGTAGAAAAAGCTACAAGAAAATGATATTTGTTTATTAGTTTAGTTATAATTTATTATTTGCTATACCCAATCAGGAGTTAATTAGTTTTAATATTTAAGCACTTTCAATATAATTATATTAAGTGAGTTTTTGCTCCATTTTGTGTGTGAAGTTACAAATTTTATAATCTCAACCTCTTATATTTTGCTTAGTTATACACCTAAGTTATTCTTGTTTGTTTTCAAGACATATAACTGAGTTTGTATATTTTTAAAGCATGGCAAGAAATAAAAATAGTAAAGGACAATGTAACCCAAGCACTCGGGCTATAGCATAGCAAAGTTTGTTTATATTGTATCAATTTTAAATTGATCAATAGATAACATAACACCGGTTGATTAAAAGATGACAACCTCCCTGGGTGGCAATATGATGTGGACATAAAACCCCAAATCCAAGAGGCCCATGATTAGAAGGCCCAAGTCCATGACGAAGAATATAAAGATCAAGATCCAATTCAAATCTTAGGTGGGCCTATGACTAGAGAGATGCTTAAAAAAACCCAAGAGGCATTGTAGTACAAAGTGGCCCATTTTCTAGAGACTCAACAATCGGCTCAACACATGGAACAGGCTAGACTTATTACATGCATAGCTTGATTGGAGAACTAGGAGGCCAACAAGAAGATTTAGTTTTTATTTTATTATTCAGACTACATTTTTGTGAGTTTTTAGCTCTGCTAGGGTTCTTCCTTGCATCAACTGATCTTATCAAGAATTCTCCAATTCTTGTGGCGATCTTTCTTGGCTTATCAAATAATCCTATTTGTGGCGCCTTCCTTATAATACTTTGAGTTTTCATCATTTGGTACTCAGAGCCAGGTTCATGAGGGTATTGTTCACGTGCACTGTTCACAATACTGTTCATCTGACTCTTCACGATTTTTGTTCACGCCACTGTTCACGATACTGTTCAAAAAAAAAAATTTTGTTTCTTTCATTCTTGTTATTGTGCATCCACATATTGCTTTTAGTGATTCTCTTTCATTTTGAAACATAAATTCTGCCAAGAAAAAAGTTTGAAAAAAATATATATATATATACACACACACACAAATATATGGCAGTTGTTCTTCCTTAAAATTTGTGCACATTACCTATTTGATAAAATTTCTAAGTGTCAAGTGTCTTCCCTGTTCTTTGCTACTTGTCCTTTGTGGGTACTACAATTATGTTTTATTCCTTATGATTGCTACCCTTGAAGGTGATTCTTGACTATAGATTACTTGATTCTTGTAAGAACCTTAAGTCAGAGAATGAGCAGAAAAAGGCAAGAGTGAATATTTACACAAAGCCAAGTTGAGAGTGCAAACACGTGAGAAGAGTGGTAAGGTCCTATTATTTCACTTTTTTTTTGTTTTTGGTTATTTAGTTGAACTATGACAAGAGCAGGTGGTGGTGGTCATCCTCATTTAGATGGAACTCAAAGATTGTTACTTGAAGCTATGAATGTACAAATGCAAAGATTGATGACACAAAATAATCAAGATCTCTATGAGAGGATTGAAGGAATTGAAAATCAACCAAATCAAGATGTCGAAAGTCCTAACCGAAACAAGGGAGGTAGAGGAGGTAATGGAGGTCCTAGATAGAACAGACTTGAAGGAGTGAAGTTGAATGTTCTCCCATTCAAAGGTAGGAGTGATCCAGATGCTATCTAGAGTGGGAGATGAAGATTGAACATGTGTTTTCATGCAATGACTATACTAAAGCACAAAAGGTCAAATTGGTAGCAGCTAAATTCTCAGACTATGCTCTCATTTGGTGGAACAAATATCAGAAGGAAATGCAAAGAGATGAGGAACGGGAAATAGATATACATGAGCTGAAATGAAGAGAGTCGTGAGGGAGAGATATGTGCCAACTAGTTATAGTAGAACTTTACGTTTAAAACTTCAAAAATTAACTCAAGGTAGCATGACTATTGAAGAATACTATAAAGAGATGGAGATGACATTGATGAGAGCCTGCATAGAGGAAGAATATGAAGCAACAATGGTTTGTTTTCTGAATGGCCTAAACATTGATAATAGGGATGTTGTGGAATTGCAAGAATATGTGGAGATGGAAGATTTGTTGTACAAGGTTGTACAGGTTGAACAACAGCTAAAGAGAAAAGGTATAGCAAGGAAGAATTCTTCCAGTTCTTATAATCCAAACTGGAAGGATAGATCTAAGAAGAAAGGAGGAAATTCATTTAGTTCAGCAGTGACTCCTCCACAAAGGAAATCACCAACAAAGCTAAATACATATGTTTTCCCCACTAGAACTAGAAACATCAAATGCTTCAAATGCTTGGGAAGAGGACATATTGCTTCTGAATGCCCAACCAGGAGGATCATGATCATGAAGGAGGATGGGCAAATCACTAGTGAATCTAAACCTGATGAAGAAGAAGTGGAGGAAAAGTTAGAAGAGGAAGCATTACAGGGTGATATACTAATGGTAAGGAGGTTGTTGGGAAGTCAGATACAACCACTTGAGCAAACCCAAAGGGAAAATATTTTCCACACTAGATGTTCCATCAAAGGTAAATTATGCTCTTTAATAGTTGATGGTGGAAGCTGTACTAATGTGGCTAGTTCCAAATTGGTATCTAAATTAAATTTGGGAACCAAACCACATCCTAGGCCATACAAACTTCAATGGCTTAGTGAAGATGGAGAGATGAAAGTAACTCAGCAGGTTGAGGTATGCTTCTCAATTGGAAGGTATAATGATAAGGTGTTGTGTGATGTGGTTCCAATGGAGGCAAGTCATATCCTCCTAGGGAGGCCATGGCAATATGACACCAAAGCACTACATGATGGATTCACTAACAAGATTTCTTTCATGCACAATGACCATAAAATTATTCTCAAACCATTATCTCCTAGAGATGTGTGAGAGGATAAAAAAATGAGAGAAAAAATAATGCAAGAGAAAAGAGAGAAAAGTGAAACACTTGAGAGAAAAATGAGTTGTTTAGCAGAAGAGAGTGAGGTGAAAAGAATGTTTCATGCTCACAAACCACTTTACTTGATGTAATGCAAAAATAATATTTTTGTTGCTGATAATTCAAATAAAATTGTTATTCCTCCTAGTGTTGAATTTCTTTTGCAAGAATATAAGGATGTGTTTCCAAAGGAGTTACTAAATGGATTGCCACCTTTGAGGGGAATTAAACACCATATTGATCTCATTCCAAGAGTGTCATTGCCCAACCGACTAGTATATAGAAGTAATCCCCAAGAGACCAAAGAGATCCAAAGGCAAGTCGAAAAATTGATGAGCAAAGGATGGGTACAAGAGAGCATGAGCCCATGTGCAGTTCCACTCATTTTAGTCCCTAAGAAGGATGGAACATGGAGGATGTGCACTGATTGTAGAGCCATCAACAACATCACAGTTAAGTATAGGCATCCTATTCCTAGGTTAGATGACTTATTGGATGAATTGCATGGTGCTTGTATTTTCTCTACAATTGACTTGAAAAGTGGGTACCATCAAATTAGGATTAGGGAAGGGGATGAATGGAAAAGTGCCTTTAAAACTAAGTATGGTTTGTATGAGTGGCTAGTGATACCCTTTGGGTTAAATTATGCCCCCAGCACTTTTATGAGATTGATGAACCATGTCTTAAAGGAATTTTTAGGCAAATGTGTTGTGGTGTACTTTGATGATATTCAGATATATAGCATTAACTTTGATTTGCATGTTGAACATTTAAGTGTTGTCATGAATGTGCTGAGAAAGGAAAAATTGTTTGCTAATATTGAAAAATGTACCTTTTGCACTGATGATGTTGTGTTCTTGGGATTTGTTGTGAGTTCTAAAGGGGTACAAGTTGATGAGGAAAAGATTAGAGTCATCCAAGAGTGGTCTACCCCTAAGAATGTGAGTGAAGTGAGAGGCTTTCATGGGTTAGCTACTTTCTATAGGAGGTTTGTTAAGGATTTTAGTACTTTGGTTGCACCTCTTAATGAAATAGTTAAAAAAACATGTTGGGTTTAAATGGGGCGAAAAACAAGAAAATGCATTTTCTGAACTTAAGCACAAACTAACTAATGCCCCCATTCTTGCATTACCAAATTTTGCAAAATCTTTTGAAATTAAATGTGATGCATCTAATGTAGGTATTGAGGTTGTTTTGATGCAAGAAGGTCATCCAATTTCTTATTTTAGTGAGAAGTTGAATGGGACTGCCTTAAACTATCCTACCTATGATAAGGAATTATATGCCTTAGTGTGTGCTTTAAAAACTTGGCAACATTACCTTTTACCAAAAGAGTTTGTAATTCATAGTGATCATGAATCTCTCAAATACTTAAAGGGACAAAGTAAGCTGAACAAGAGGCATGTCAAATGGATTGAGTTTTTAGAGCAATTTCCCTATGTCATAAAACATAAAACAAAAGGAAAGGGAACATTATAACTAATGCATTATCTAGAAGGCATGCATTATTGTCCACTCTTGAAACTAAAATTTGTGGACTTGAGCCTTTAAAAGAAATGTATTTGCATGTGGATTTTGCTGAAATGTTTGCTACATGTGAAAAGTTTTCTAAAAATGGTTACTGTAGGCATAATGGTTTCTTATTTAAAGCAAATAGATTATGTGTGCCTAAGTGTTCCATAAGAGAATTACTTGTTAGTGAATCACATGAGGGGGGTTTAATGGGTCATTTTGGAGTGCAAAAGACTTTAGAAATTTTACAAGAACATTTCTATTGGCCCCATATGAAGCGTGATGTTCAAAAATTTTGTGATCATTGCATTGTTTGTAAAAAGGCCAAGTCAAAAGTTAAACCACATGGTTTGTATACCCTTTTGTCTGTTCCTAATTTTCCATGGACTAACATATCTATGGATTTTGTTTTGGGACTGCCTAGAACCAAAAGTGGCAAGGATTCTATTTTTGTGGTTGTTGACAGGTTCTCCAAAATGGCACATTTCATACCATGCAAAAAGGTTAATGATGCTTGCCATGTAGCAAACATGTTTTTCAAGGAAGCTGTGCAACACCATGGACTGCCCACAAGCATTGTAAGTGATAGGGATACCAAGTTCTTAAGTCATTTTTGGAGAACATTGTGGGGTAAGCTAGGTACTAAATTACTTTTCTCTACTACTTTTTACTCACAAACTGATGGGCAAACAGAGGTAGTCAATAGAACTTTAGGTTCTTTGCTTAGGACTGTTTTAAAGAAAAATCTTAAGTCTTAGGAAGCATGTTTGCCACATGTAGAGTTTGCATATAATAGGGTTATTCATAGCACAACTAAATGTTCACCATTTGAAATTGTGTATGGATTTAATCCTCTTATACCACTTGATTTGTTACCTATGCCCAACATTACCGAATTTAAGCATAAGGATTGACAAGCTAAGGCTGAATATGTGAAGAAGTTGCATGAGCATGTGAAAGCTCAAATTGAAAAGAAAATTGAGAGTTATGCCAAGCAAGCCAACAAAGGAAGAAAGAAAGCTATTTTTGAACTTGGTGATTAGGTGTGGGTACACTTGAGAAAAGAAAGGTTTCCTGAACAAAAGAAGTTAAAACTTCAACCTAGAGGAGACGGGTCATTCCAAGTCCTAGAGAAGATCAATGATAATGCTTACAAGATCGATCTATTAGGTGAGTATGGTGTAAGTTCTTTTAATGTTGCTTATTTGACTCATTTTGATGCAGGAGATGAATTCATAGCTTTGAGGACAAATACTACCCAAGAAGGAGAGAATGATGTGGACATAAAAGCCCAAACCCAAGAGGCCCATGATTAGAAGGCCCAAGTCCATGACGAAGAGGATAAAATCAAGATCCAATTCAAATCTTAGGTGGGCCTATAACTAGAAGGATGCTTAAAAGAACCCAAGAGGCATTACAACACAAAGTGACCCATTTGCTAAAGACCCAACAATCGGCTCAACACATGGAAGAGGCTAGACTTATTACATGCATAGCTTGTTTGGAGAGCTAGGAGGCCAACAGGAAGATTTAGTTTTTATTTTATTATTCAGACTACATTTTTGTGAGCTTTTAGCTATGTTAGGGTTCTTCCTTGCATCAACTGATCTTATCAAGAATTCTCCAATTCTTGTGGCGATATTTCTTGGCTTATCAAATAATCCTATTTGTGGCGCCTTCCTTATAACCATGAGTTTTCATCACAGTATAAATCATGAGAAAGAAAAGGATCCAACAAAATCAATGCCAAAACCAACAATATTGGGCAGGAAGAATGCAAAGAAGCATAAATATAAAAATAGCAACTGAAGGAGCTGCTGGCAATTCACTTGCAAGTCTCCAAATAATGGTTCTGTAAGCTAAAGTACGCATTTGAAAAAATCCATTCTTCAAACCAAAAATATTAGTGCTACAATCCTATATAGGTAAAAGAGGGAATTTCTTGAAGTTGATAAATCTAGTATTTTATGACCATGATGTCGACATGCCATACTGATTTGATGAGAAGTGTAGGAAGGGAAATGACTCAGTTCATTTTGGGCTTAATATCATTATTTTGGCATCAATCAATCTTATCACCAATCACCCTCAACATCCAAACATGAAATATTAAAAGAAATTGATATTGAAAGAATAAGAAGAAACAACTCTTCACATCTTAAACAAAATGTAGATTTAGAATTTAATGCAAGTCACAAAATGATAATCGAAGTAATAGGTGGAATATGACATCTGAGAAGCAATTTGGGGATGCACACTTCACAATTGCATTGATGCACATTTAAGCAATTTTGTTGAGAATTCCAGAGAGCACGAATTATAATGCACTATTTTATATAGACGATGAAGCAATGTTGGGAATGAGTGTGGGTAAGTGTTTAATGTATGGCCGAAGTAGTAATACCATAAACGTGCCGAAATGATACATTTAGGGATGGTTGGCAGTGTGGCTAATACCCTAAATTTTGAAGCAACTACAAAATATGATTATAAGATATAATATTATAATATAAACTAAATTCAAGGTAGTAGTGATACATAACAATATTTTTCAAACTATATGTTACCAATTTTTTTCAACTATTTGCATGTTACATACACTTCATCCTTAGTCTTGATATAGAACTATGTGCTCTGACAAGTCAAAGGAATGTATTGTGTACAAAGACTGACCACATTGATGAAGTAATCAACAGGTAGATAACAGGATCCCTTCCGGAGGATTTGGGCACGTGACACTCAACCCCATTTTTGAACCTAATAGTAATGATATTGTAACCAGCTCCATTTTTCTGCCAATAAACACAAATTTCAAATCTATTTGGAAACACTAACCCAGGTATTTTAATGCAATGTTAACCACTAAATTTGAGTTTAAATGTAACCAAAGCCACCATTTTCAGTGTTATGATACCTGCTATGTAGCTCTAGCCTTGATCAATCCCTTAACATGCAGTTTCAGCTTTCAAGCAGAATGGTGAAAGTTGCAACTTCCCTATATCTAAATTGTTAAAATCAGCTTAAACTAATTAGGTACTCTAGAAGTACAAAGCAGCAGAGCAATTTTACAAATAATATACTTCCAGCATCAAAGTCCAGCTGATCAAAAGAAGACTTAACCACATTGGTGTATATATGAACACCTGAGAATTTACCTCGCTTCCCAATTTTCAGCAATACCGCACGTTTCATGTAGCAGTAGTGAACCTTCCCATTATCCGAATGCCGCACTAAGCATGTCCCCAAGTACCAAATTTCCAGTTTCATCATTTCAAATTTGGTAATCTTGTGCATAACCATAGTAGTTTCCATCTGGTTCCACAAGAACTTCATCAAGTCAACATCACTCATCAATTACAATGAGAGTCATTTATCCACCAAGACCAAGAAACAATAACTTACCAAATGTCTTGCAGCACAACGATAATAGTCTCCCTTTCCATGACAGTCATGGCAATCATCAATCACAAGACCCACGGATCAGTGACTTCACTCCAACAAAGGCCCCTCCAACAATCACCACACAATCAAGGCACAAACCGTGCCAATCTGATCCTCAACTTAACCTTCCTCGCTTCATTTGTAAACCCAATACTCTGAAGCCCATCAATAACCGCCCGCTGAGTGGCCCTCAACACCTGATACCCACATTTCAAACACGAAACCAAAACTTTCGAGGCGCAAAGGAACCGTCTCGCCCTGCAAAGGTTGTGCACCAAGATGGTATAAGAAAACGAATCCTTAACCTCCATCATCTCAAACAACTTCACAGCATGATCAATATGCCCAGCCTTCCCCAACCCATCAAGCATACAGTTAAACGCAACCAAATTATACCCAAACCCCAAACCATTCATATAGCTCAAATGCCTCTCAGCCCCAGCAAAATCCCCAGCCTTACACAACCCATCAATGATAATAGTATGCGTGTACTTATCACACACCAAACCCTCCTCCTCTATCTCCTCCACCACCTTCAACGCCTCATCCAGCTTCCCCTGCCTGCAATAAAGGTTAATCAAAGTGTTATACGCCACCAGATCCGGCCTCACGCCGGAACCCACCATAATCTCAATAATCTCATTCGCCTCGCGCATCCTACCGGTCTTAATCATCGCCGCGATCACCGTGCAGTACGCGAATCCATCGAACGTAAACCCTAAATCCCTCATCTCCGACAGAATCTCCAACCCCTGCTCGAAATTCCCGCACCTGAAGCAGCACTTCATCACGGTGGTGTAGGTAACCGCGTTCGGTGCGAGTCCCGAATCGGCGAACTCCCTCAGCACGTCGCCCGCGGCCTTCAGCCGCTTCACCCGGCAGAGGCCGTTGATGAGCGCGTTGTAGGTCAGAACCTGCGGCGCGAAGCCGAGCCGCCGCAGGTTCCGGAAGAGGCTCAGCGCGTGGGCGACGTAGCCGTTTCGGCTGAGGCCGTTGATCATGACGTTGCACGTGGCGGCGCTGGTCACGCCGCGGAGCGCGACGTCCCTGAGACGCGGTTCGCCTCGTCGGGCTTGCCGAGCTTGAACAGGCAGTGCATGAGGATGTTGTAGCTCCGCGTGTCGGGGGCGACGCCGCGCGCGAGCATTTTGTCGAACAGGTCGAGGGACTTGGAGAGCAGGCACTGGCGGACGACGCCGGAGATCAGGGAGTTGTACGAAACGACGTCGGGGGGGATCCCGGCGGCGCGCATCCGCGCGAGGACGGAGTGAGCGGCGTCGACGGAGGCGAAACGGCAGTACGCGGCGATTAGGGTGTTGTAGGGGACGGCGTCGGGGAGCACGCCGAGTTTTATGGCGTCGATTATCGCGGACTCGGCTTTCGGCAACTGCTTCGCTTTGCAGAGAGAGGATAGGGTTATTTTCAGGAGCTTGGTCGATAGTGCTGAAGAGTGTGGGCCGCAAAATGACATCATTTTGGAGCTCACGAGGGGAGTGAGAAGCGAATGGAGAGAGTGTGCGGGTGTTGATTGTGGTGCGGACAAGGTTGAAAGTGGAAAGACGCGGGAGCATGGTTCGAACAAGAGAAGCATAGAAGAAGGAGGAGGAGGAGAAGCCAGAAGAATGGGGAGGTTTTGGGGGCTTTGAATTGGACCAGTTAAATTGGCGCCCAGTACTCCAGATTTTGATGTGGTCCAATTTATGAAAGTAAATATCTCTTATAATTGTATTAAAAAATTTAAATTTAATTATTAAAATTTCATATAAAATATGAATTATAAAATAAAATAAATTTAAGTTGACTTACTCTTTAAATAAATATATTTTTTTCATATATATAATTTTTTAAGAAATTAAATCTATATAGATTTCCAATTGTTATGAACATGTTTGATACAAGTTAGAAGTATTCTTTTTAGAACTTCTTTAATAAAAATAAAATATAAAATATTTTTTAATAATGAAACTCTAAAAAGTGTTTCCAAATTTGTATTCAAACAAGTTTTATGTTTAGTGTTTACTTTTCATATGACTAATACATTTGCAAAAAGAAAGTCAAAATAGAAAAACAAAATATTGTTTTCAATGTTTTCCAATAAAATGAAAATGTTGTGACATAAACCATAATTTTAAAAAATTATTCCCAGAAAACCCTTACAATTAAATAGTATTGGTGTAATAGCCCGAACACACCAGAATGAGGAGATTCAAAAATTTATAAAAGTGCCAGATTGTGCAATTGAAAAGGATTTAAAGAAATTAATTTGTACTAACTATATTAACAAGATACATTTACATACTTTTTGTTAAAGCATCACTTAAGAACCTTATAGTTAAGCATATTTGACTTAGAGTAATTTATGAATAGTGACTTTTTAGGATGTTTCCCACAAACTGTGTGAGTGAGGACAAAATATGTTGAAAAGTCTTTGTACTGGTTTGTGGGATTCTATAAGTAACTGGGCACTTAGAAAAGTGTTTCTAAATTTGTATTCAAACAAGTTTTATGTTTAGTGTTTACTTTTCATATGACTAATACTTTTAAATAGTGTCCTTTGATTCTTAAGTAACAATTATATTTATTTGTTGTCCTCTTCATTTCTATCATTATTAGTCTTGAGAAAATAAATGTCACTCTTTTTAAAGTGTGTATCATCTTCATTTTTTTCATAGGTTTAGGAAATAAAAGAAATGGACACAAAAAGAAGTGGAAAATATCCAAATTCCTAATTTTCCTTTTGTTTTATTATTACGAAAGGATAACGTTAAGTATTTGACTATTAATTTATTTCATCATCACAAATTGTTAGGGCGAGAAATACTAGGAATACAATTTTTAACACTCTATTTAATTAGTCAAAATTTATTAAAAAAAA